GGTGGTGGCACTTGTAGTGAAGCAGCAGCCGCAGTAGTAGCAGTTACGAGTACGGGTTGGTTGTAGGGGTCGTCGTCTTTGTCGTCAGACCAGCGCGGCTAGTACTGCAAGTGCTAATACTCAAATCTATGGCGGCACTGTAAATGTTTGCAGATGAGATGATAGTGAAGACGGGGGTGAGGTAAACCTAAAGTGAAGCGAACCAGTGAGATTCCCTCTGCCTCCTGAGGTCCTGCTGGGCGAGATTGGGGCAAACACATCGCTGCGATATGTTGTCCAGCTGTCAGGGGCCGAGTTCCCCAACCGAGACCGAAACTTCACAGCTTGATCTTGAGCAGCACTTCCTAAACCTGAATCCGACCACCCTTTACTTCGAAGCAGTTCCATTCCGAAGTCGTTGCCTCTTCTCAGCATTCGCATGTGACGGGAATCCTCGGCCGCCTGTAGCCCGACCGCAGCTCCTCCACAGATTCTACCATGACTTCACCGACTTCACCTCACCTCTCCATGATCTGAGTCTCCCATGTACGCCCCGAATCCCAATTCAGCCCTGTGCCCGAAGTGCGAGGGCCATCGGCCTACTCCTTGTTTCAAGTCTTGGACAGTGCATCATGAATCCTATACGGTTCGAAGCCCCTGCTTCTGGAAGCTTGGGGTTCTCTTCCATCTTTAGGTGCTTAGTGCTGCGTAGTGGAAATGTGCTTCTGCAGGCTCACCCCAGCCTCCATCCTCGCCAAGACCAATGGCCGGGAGGTCTGGATTGTTTTTCTGGTTTCAAGAAATGTCGACAGCCGGAAACCAAAATGTGCGCGACATCCTGTGCCGCGTTCCAGGCAATAGTGCGAGAAGACATTGAGGACGGGAAGTGCCCGGGAGTATGACCTATTGGCTGTGAGATGCCATTGACGTACCCAGTCCGAAGTCCTTAAGCTTAAGGCTTAAGACGTCCGCCCTGAAGTTTGCAGGTCGGAGAGCACGGAGAGACTATGAAGCTATTCTTGCGTGGCCTCAAAGCCCGGCCCCAATGCCCAACCGTTCCAAACGCAGGAGATTGACTCTCTGTTCTTCGATGCGAAGTCATGCAACTCAGTTTCTCCACACGAGATTTTCTACTGCGCTGCTGCGTACGGAGGAAGCACAGGTATGCAACAATTCATACTCAGTGTTTCGGAGGCGTCAACCTAGTTCCCAGGTAGTCCAACTATGTCCATTTCCTTGTTCTGTCGTAGTCCTGGTTCTCCATGCAATCTCCTGAAAGCAGGGTCGCGTGCAAGGTCCTCGGCCAAATTGCTTGCCGAGCAGGCAGACAAGCAGAGGACTCAGGCTTCTGAATGCGGTTACTGATAAGACAAGACCGCATGTCGAGCATGACGCACCGCCTTCTCTGTTCAACAGGGCCCTGGTGAGCACACTAAGGTACATCTCCTGAGACTCAGGATGCTTGCTGCTTTCTCACCTTTTTGTAGATTGCATGCCCTGAACTTCGACGTCATTAGCTCACGTATCCAAGTGCAAGAGAGCAGAGAACTTACTGTGCAGTAGTTGACTCGCATTACATGGCAACTTAACTCAAGTAAGCCTTTCTAGACAGGCAGCAAAAGCGCTGCAAGCATGACCCGAATCCAACACACCTCAATGCGTGCCCTATGCAAAAAAGCTCTGCTCGCCACGTTTCATGAAGTGTGACTCTCCTCACCTCTGCCCATTGAAACGATGCATGCCAGTAATGTTGGTGGCCGCAGCACCCGCCGTAGATGAACTACTGGGAGCACACATATAGAGGATACTCGTACGACCACCGAGAAATCCAACACACCACGAATCAGGAATATGGTTGGTTTGTATCAGCAGACGAAGGCGACTAGCAGTCATCATCGTCGTAACAGCAACTTCCTTAAAATAATGTTCAGAGTGTGACATAATAGTGAGACTGTTTGTGACCCCGGCAGATAGAAGTAGGAGGAGCAGGTGCAGAAGGAGCAGGAGGAGCAGGAGGAGAAGCAGGTGGTAGCAGTAGTAGCAGTAGTAGTAGTAGTAGTAGTAGTAGTAGTAGTAGTAGTCGTAGTAGTCGTAGTAGTAGTTGTAGTAGTAGTAGTAGTAGTAGCAGTAGTGGGAGCAGGAGTAGGAGTAGGGGTAGGGGTAGGGGTAGGGGTAGGCAGTAGGGAGTAAGAGCAAGGAGTAGGGCGTAGGGAGTAGGGGGAAGGGGGTAGGGAGTAAGGAGTAGGAGTAGGAGCAGCAACAGTAGTAGGAAGTAGTTGTGATACAGCGAAAGCGCTGCTTAAGAATTTGTCCGGTTCCGGTCAGCCCCCCTCAGATTCTTCTTGGGAACCAGCCCTAATAAGAGCCTATTAAAGTTAAGAATCTGGGGGCTCAGATTCTTAATTCGGAGGTTTTCTACGGTCTCCAGCTTGGGAGCGAAGAATGTGAGGGCTCAGAGTCTTGATTTGGAGGTTCCCTTTCAGTTCAACAAATTCCGAGCTAAGAATGTGCCCCAGATGTCAGGGGGGGCTCAAATTCTTAAGTCGTAGGCGGCCTGACACAGGTGGAGAAATAACCATTCGCAGGAAAATTCAGCCCCTCAAATTCTTAAGCAATGAATTCTTAACCAATACTTCCGCTGTACTGGTAGTGGTAGTTAGTGGTGGTGGTAGTGGCAGTGGCAGTGGCAGTGACAGCAGTAGTAGTAGTAGTAGTAGTAGAAGTAGTAGTAGTAGCAGTAGCAGTAGCAGTAGCAGTAGCAGTAGCAGTCGCAGTCGTAGTCGTAGTGGTAGTGGTAGTGGTAGTGGTAGTGGTAGTGGTAGTGGTAGTGGTAGTGCTGGTAGTAGTAATTAGTAGTAGTAGTAGTAATTAGTAGTAGTAGTAGTAGTAGTAGTAGTAGTAGTAGTAGTAGTAGTAGTAGTAGTAGTAGTAGTAGTAGTAAAAGTAATAGTAACAGTAATAGCAATAGTAATAGTAATAGCAATAGTAGTAGCAGTAGTAGTAGTTGTTGTTGTTGTAGTAGTTGTAGTAGTTGTAGAAGTAGTAGTAGCAGTAGTAGTAGTAGTAGTAGTAGTAGTAGTAGTAGTAGTAGTAGTAGTAGTAGTAGTAGTAGTAGTAGTAATAGTAATAGAAATAGTAATAGTAATAGTAATAGTAATAGTAATAGTAATAGTAATAGTAATAGTAATCTTACTAGTACTTGCAATAGTAACAGTACTACTAGTACGACTAGTATTACTAGTACTACTAGTACTAGTAGTGCTACTAGTACTACTAGTGCTACTAGTGCTAGTAGTAGTAGTAGTAGTAGTAGTAGTAGTAGTAGTAGTAGTAGTAGTAGTAGTAGTAGTAGTAGTAGTAGTAGTAGTAGTAGTAGTATCGATGGCGGTGGTGCTGGTAGGAGGACGTGGGGGTGGACGAGGAGGAGAGGGAGGAGGAGTAGGAGCAGGAGCAGAAATTGAAACATTAGGCCAGTATTCATGCTCCTCGCGAGAAAGAAATCAACAAGCCGTAAACTAGCGCAGCTGAAAATACAAACTGCAACCGTGGAGTCTACACTCCCGGCAGTGGTCTGTGCCGTCAAACGATGTGCCATGTTGAGGTTGTAGTCGGCATTCTAGAACAACTACGCACTGCTGCATTCCGCAACTCGTCTACTGGGTCAGACGGTTTCTCCCAGCGCATTTCAACCATGACCAGTTTTCTGGGAGCCAATGGTTGCATCGAACGGTTCCGTCGGTCTATTGCATGTCATTCCATACCTGTCCTGTGAGACCTCGAGCAAGAAGTCCGCAAGCCCTTGTAGTGATCAGCCTACAAACCTGAACTCAAGACCCGGAACCCTGAGCGAAGCTCCCAGCGAAGCTTTGGCCTGAGCGTTCAACCATGAAGCTGAATCAGAAGGGCTTGACATTTCGAATAATCTCGACCTCCATGCCGCGCTGGGCCTGCAGAGGTTAGGCACAGGCCCGCAGTCCAACACTACAGCACAGAATGTTCAGCATCCAGATCCAACCGGCCCACGTCATCTACCGTGCTTAGTGACAACTGCCGGGCAGCGTGGGAACCTTCGTGTTGCAGCAGCAATGTGGATTGGATTATACAGAAGTTTCTTGAATGCTTTCAGGAACAGCTTGTGGACTTCGCTCGTCCGATAGACCTTGAGCTCTCGGGCGAGGGTTCAATGCCACCCTTGGAGGCAGCATGCCGGGAGCCCACGAGCCCACTTGGGAGTTTGCTCTCATCTCATCGGATCTTCGGTTCCGAGGTCCCAGGTGCTGGATAAACAGTTCGATCGTCGCAACACCGCCGCGCATCTGAAGCCTCCCATCACTTCGCACTTCCGTCTCGTAAAACTCTTGGGGTCGAGTATGAAAAAGGTTTTCCAGTATGCCTGCTTCCGACAAGTCGGGAGCTCCCACGGTCAGAGCCTTAAGATCAGATGAAGCAGGAGCGTGGCTGCGTGAGCTCTTGCCAGAACGTGAAGGCCTCCGCACCACTTCCCATAGTCTCAAGGCCACCGACCTTCCAGAAGGAGTCGCAGATTGCAGTTGCTGATGTTCGGTGCGTGGCCCGCATTTGCAAAACATTCAGCAATGCGCTACGCACCGCTGACCTTGATTTTGGCATTTTGGAGGTTTAGGAAGCCCGGCACGATGGGGAGCACTTCGCCAAGATGTATGTGCAAGAAACGGGCATGGATACGATGGTGCATCAGATTTGGGATGATTGTTTTAATTGAAGCCAAAACCAGTTTAAATTTTCGTTGGTTGCACGCATTTGGGCTCTGCACCCTGCTGTACTGAAGCTTGCTGTCGCCGCAAAGACGTGTGAGATTGAACGTGGATATCAACAAGCTTTGGGGCTGTGCTTCTGGCTTGCCCACAATTCATGAGTGATTGCTGTAGTGCAAGTTTGCCTCTTGATACTCCCAATTTTCATGAGACGCAACCATCCTTTCAATGCGTGTAGTCCGAGTTCTCAACTCTTGAACTTTATAGATCGGCCGTGGTTGTATTGCCATGCAGAAAGCAGCGCAATCCTACCACCAGGCCTGTCCGGTTCAGCGTTGGAAGGGCAGCAAGCCATATAGCTTCACCTGCTGGTGTGCTACCCCGCAGCACGTGCGAGAATCAAGGACGCCCCAACAAGATCATACTCTTACCCGTGTACCCCAAGCTGCACAGACTGGCACAGACTTCTGGTGGGCTTCACAGCACATGCGATGTGTCATCCCCGCATCCTCAACTTGAGGCTGAGAACTGATAAACCTGAATTGAAAGCACACATCCTAAACTCCCAAACCATTGCGGCAGGTGTCATGGTGGTCATGGACGATGTGGGGGTGCTGTTCACAGGTGGAGCAAATGCTTGATGCTCACGGCACATGAGGACGTATCTTCAAGAAGTAGATCTTGGCAGAAGCCAAGTGAATGTGGATGTGCGCTGGGCAATGAATGGTTTTCCTGAGCATGGCTGCAGTGCTGCTGCATTCTTGATCCAGGCGGAATCGGATGCCGGCAATTCGGAGATGGTTGTAGACAACTCGCCATCTGCGAAGGCTTTCAGAAGGGTGGATTGACCTGATGAGGATTTTTGCCTCTGCTTGTGACATTGTGGCGTTCATTGTGTCCCCATAGGCTGGTGCAGAGAATCGGAAACCACAGGCTCAGTTCATGTGTCCAAGCTGCAAGTAGAGCGGCATTTTTGGAAGGCCTTTGCATTGCCGAGCACCAGCTTGGATGCACTGCCGGAGGGGCCGCCCGATTGCAAGATCTCAAAGGTTGACTTTTGCTCAGTGTGGCTTGTTACTGAATCCATCCGAAGAACATGTTTGCAAGATGCTAGCGTGGACTTACCGCAGCAGCCGTAGCAGCGGGTCAGACCCAATGCAAGGAGCTCCAGGCCTAAGATTGGCCCCTATATACGCTTAAAACCCAAAACCCTACGCCCTAAGTCCAGGAACCTTGCAAGTGCGCAGGTTTGTTGAGCAGATCGGCGACTACTTCACCGTCCTTGCCTTTGCTCGTCAGGTGTGCTGTGTGAAGATGTGTTGCTTTGTTCCTTGGATCATGAGTTCAAGTTCAGCCCGCAGCGTGGACCCAATACGCTCACGGACCAGGTGCAATTGTGAGTTTTCAAGCCGCGGCTGAGGTGATGGATTTCTTGCCGACACGATCAACATGCCGGCAGCTTTCATCTCCGAAGGCCGGAATGGCGGAATCAATGGATGTCCCAACAGTTTTATCACAAAATGCGAACCTACAATGCAGTCCTGATGTTCTGGTCTGGATTTGTGGCTAAATCTAAACCCCAAATCATGGAAGGAACCTACCCTAAACTATGAGGTGTGCAGGCGTCTCACAGCATAGCGATGCTACACATGCTAAGTGATAGTGAACATAAGCATGATAAGGTCAACCGGCGGCTGGAGAAGAGATTCGGTAAGACTAGAATGACTAGAACTTGTTGGTACTCCTGTGATGCTAGTGTTCATTTTGAGTTGTGTATCTTTCTTGCTTGCATTCCTTGCCAACTTGTTAAGCATTTGGAGTTTCGGGGGACATGTTTGGTTCTCTTGTTCAAGATCCGAGATACTAACCCTGAACCCTAAAACTGCATTTGGGACTTGACAAGGAGCTTGGCGAGGATTTCAATGAGCTGTTGGCCATCAAATGTCCACAGAAGCAACTGCGCGTACAGAAGTTCTCCATGTCTGTCCGACAGTGTGCCGAAAGCCAAAGGTTGGATGCCGGAAGGCCAAAGATAAAGAAAGTTCTCCGTCAGAGGGTGGGTTGGCCTCCTGTTTGTGGCTACTACCGGAAAGTGGATCTCCCTCTAGACGAGAGTTTCCAGGCTTGCAAAGCCTCTAAGTCCTGGAACTGGGGGAATTGGGAAGATGTCGCCGCTCTGATATCTCGATGCTTCTGAGAGCCCAACTGGGGCTCCACCCAATTGAACCTTTCGCGTTTGCAAAATGGGCATTGCTTCAGCCGCTTCAGATGAGCACGTGCCAGCTTCCAGCCCCCACAGCCGTAGCTGTCGCAGCAATCTGGGCCTACAGCCTGCTTCGCTTTGCTTAGTTTCCGCTTGCAGCAATGTCCGTGAAGGTGCTTGCAGCTGCAACGGCACAGAACACAGACCAAGTGTTTTGCTTTCGGAGGTTTCCTGTGGTGATATTATCTGTGTTCTCAACCACTTCTTCAATCACGTGATGCTCGTTTCTGGCGAGCGCGGACCTTGTCGCAAATCATGGCCTTGATTGCGCTGTGTCTTATGCAAGAGCTGTGGCACGCTTCCCGGCCCAGACCGTTTCAATGCCAGTGACAGCTTCTCCATGGGTACATAGGCCGCCAAATCGTGCTTGCTTGCGAAGACAACGGCCTTCCCAGGCCTTTCTGCATGGATGGCCGCGACCTGGGACGAGGTGCTGCAATGGGCTCATTTTTGCACACCATTTGTGTCCTTTTACGCAAAGCATGCTGCATCACATATTTGCCAGGAGCAGTTGGGCACAGTGACTTTCATCCCCACCCTGGAGATTTCATCGGAGGTCAGTGCTTCCAGAGCATTGGGCGAAGTAGCTTTTGGCTCGTACTGGATGACAAAGAGTGGCAAGGGTTGCTAAGGCTGCTAAGGGTGCGTGGTGTCGCTTTGGCTGTGATAGGATGTGTTGTGCTTTGCAAGCTGCAGTTTGACACAGGCACATGCGCACATGTTGCAAGTGCTGCGAAATTGCAGCCACGACTTTTCTCAGAATGCCAGATGCCACGTGCAGGTAGTGTAGTAGCTATCTTTGTGATGTGTCAGGTTCACAACAGCAGTGGCAACCTGGATTGTGCAGATCTGCATGATTCACACAGTTTTCGATTACGCTTGACCCCCTCCCGAACCCAAACCTTTCAAACCAAAAAGATGTCCTTAATAAACCCAGGTTCAACATATTTGTTCAAGAATGCTGCATTGGGCTAGCAGCTGGCAGAATGTGTGCAGGAGAGGCGAATCTTCAGTGCATTTACCATTCTGGACAGCAGCCTGCGGCGGGTGGCACACTATGTAGGCCGCGTGTCAGTCTTGCTTAAAATGTTAGTGTCGCCGGACCTTTCACATACTGACGCCTGCCCACTGCGAGGTGACACGCTGGAGTTTCCGCATGATGACGACGTCTACGAATGCGAGATTTGGCATGCCCCGTTCCTGTTTCCGGCCACGATGGAGCAGGCGTCTTATTTGGCAGTTGTGGTGTTCTGGGTGTGCGTGGAGCCTATATAAATTTCCATTTGCACTGATAAGTTCCAACACGTAGAAGCACAATGCATGTTCGAGTTGCTTACATTCGGGAGATGGCGTCACGACTTGTCTTACATATCTCTGAAACAGTCACGCAGGGTGGAGTTTGGTTGAGAGTCATATGCTCGGTTGCAGTGCGCATCGCAAGGTTTTAAGTGGGACCGCACGTGGATCGGATCCAAGAGATTTTCTTCTCAGCGTTTACCACGTGTGTCTAACCAGGTGCTTCCGACATACTTGATCTTCCAGTTGCCCAGCAATGATGCTTGAGTGAAAAATGGACGCTACTAGGTTATAGGGGGTTAGATAGGGACTACTATAAGGATTCATTTGCTAGTTGTGGAAGGGGGCCTTGCTCAAGCTTCACTGAGCTTGCGACAAACCCGATGCAGACTCTAGGACTTTTTCGAAGCCTTGCATCCCAAGCCTGAAATCTCTGAATAACGTCCTCTACTATACCTTAAATACACAGAACGGGATGAGTACTGTCCTCTTTGTTCCATGTACACTGTGTTGCTGTGTCATGCATGCAATGTAAGTTGCCAGGTGCTCTGCTCCATGCGTGATTCCCGCTGGGAATACTCTGCTGCAGTGATGGCATGGTGTCGCTTTGCATGCAGCTGCACAGAGCTGCATCCCTACATCTGCATCAGACCTTTCGACGCATGCTGATTGAAATTCCTTGTTTGCCAGGTCTGCCAGCATCGTTCCTTCCACCATTTGGAGGCTGGGCTGGAGCGTTGCTGTGCCCCTTGAACTTTGCGTGTTGATGATGCTGTGGTCTACAGGGAGCCAAAGATCTGCACCAGTTTCGTCGTGGAGTGCTGGCAGTTTTGCGCTTAGCCGACACAGAAAGCCTCCATTCTGTTGGGATATGTCGAAGACATCTGAGGCGCGCAATGATCGCGTCTGGTGAAGAGGCCGGCCGTCAGCATGAAGAGCTTAAGAGTGTTCAGTTGGACGGTGAGTTGATGTCCTTCGAGGAGCTTCAGCTAGAGGCTCTTCTTTGCCTGAAACCGGCATGCTTGCCGGGGGTGCTGCGAAGCACCGTGATCAGGTCGGCAGCTGAGACGAGGGTTATGGTTTTTCGACATGTGTTTCTGTATTTCAACATCTTCTTTTGATTGTTTTGCCATTTGCAGGTGTGGCTTCGCGATCGAAAAGCACGTCTGAGAGGCGTGCTTTTCATAGAGGCCTCCCAAGTTGAGGCTTGCCAAGGAGTGTCCTTGGAAAAATGGCGTGCGTGCCAAGGAGTGTCCTTGGAAAAATGGCGTGCGTGCCAAGGATCTCATGATGTTGTTGCAGGTAAGTAAGCAGTCCAATCACTTTTTGTCATCTTTTGTTTAAACGATGCGAGCCCCTGTCTGTCTAAGCTGGCTCCGAGACACGAGCAAACCACCTGGCTACGGAATTCCATGCTTAAGCCTTCAGCGCCATATCAGTTTACCTTGCCAGTTTCGCTCACAGATCCCTTTCCTCTGGGATGCTGTTAGCATGCACGCTGGCCATGTTGCAAGCGTTGTGCAGAGAGGAGGCCTGCTATGGCATTATCGTGGTTGTTGCTGCTGCTCTTAATACTCTAGGACCATAACTTACGGCTTGAAATCATGTCGCACGGTGTCCTTCCAGAATTAGCCTCGCCATCCATATAAGTTGCACTTGGCAGGTTGCGTGTGCAGGCTTGAGCTAGATGTTGCAGACAGGTTCAATGCTTGTCAGGACTTCGAGGCTGTATCGTTTTGAGCTTACAGCTTTCAGGCGAGCTTTGATCCAGTCATTGTGTCATGAACGGTGCCAGCGAATGCAAGTGGCCGAAGTAGATGTCGCGAGGTACATTTCACGTCGGCTGCGGTCGATTCGATGACAATTGTGTTGTCCGTGAGATTCGATGTTGCTGCCATGCAGTTGAGTTCTCGGACGCTGCTTCCAGCAAGCGAAGCTCTCCGAAGAAGACACACCCAAACGCATGCTTTGGATTCTAGGTGACCGTCCCGGTATTCTGAGTAGTTTTCGCCCGCAGCTGTCGATTCTTGTGCTACAATTCCGCGTATGCTTTGATGCCGTAAACTACACTCATCGCCGTTGGAGGCCAGCATCAAGATGAGCTGTTGAGCTTTCTGGTATGCGCCGACGCTTGGAGAAATGGCTCTGAGCTCAGGCATTGGACTTACATCTTGGGGGTTATGCATACAACCATGGGACAATCCGCAATCGATTCGCTGTTGGATGACCTTCGCAGTGACACGCATGTGCTTGGCGAACAAACCCTATGGTGATTCCACGGTTCTTGACAACTCAGCTACGCTTTATGCCTGTGAAGGATGCGAGAATTGCGATAGTGATCCTAAAGAAGCGGATTTGAGATACCAAGGGTTTCTTTTGCAGTAGAGTTTGAAAGCTGGCTCGCCAGACCCAGGTTTCTGAACTATGTCCGAGGGTGAATAGGGTCTTGACACCTGGATGCCCAAAGCACCCTGAAATCCAAAGTGCAAGGTTTTAACCCAAAGAACAGCCTCTGTACCCAATGCTGCAGCCCAAACTTGCACCAGGTGAGGCTTTTGATTCTGAAAAAGATCCCCAAGCTCGAAACCAGAACCCTGAAGCTCCAACTAACACTGAAAGCCCTCGTAGACTCGTTCGTCTAGCAGCCCACAAGCCGGTATCTATACCCAAGCATGACCAGAAGGTCGCAGGGCTGGGTCACACCGTCTGGGCGCAACCAGCCGCGGCAGAGGCGGGGGTTGGAGGTTGTAGGAATCATTCCGAGAATCGCAGTTTCTGTGATAAGCGGCAGCATCTCCCAGTTCCAGACCTGAGTCCGGAGTGCTGGCTCCCGCGACTCAGTATCCAGCGCGAAAGCTGAGCAATCGAAAAAGCACAAGATCTCCATGCACCTAGAGTCTAGAGACAATTTGACCATGAGAGAGCTCCGAAACATGTTCGCTGAAACCGAGACCGAGAGGACTCGAAGCACGAAGCCCACCAGCCCTTGATCAGAAAGCTTGGCTTATTGACCTAAGCCCCAATCCCAAGTGCAAGAATACCTAAACCCAAAGCTGTGATATCCTCGTGCCATGTTGGAGGCCTGCGGGAAGCCTGGCTGGAAGCAAGAGCAGCATCTCTTCGACCTCAGATGCAGGCGAGGATTCCCAGCATTTCGGCTGGTAGCTGAAAGATTTTCTATGCAGCTTGAAGGGCTTATGGTGATGCCAGACCGGAGGGAATCAGGACAACTTCACGGCGAACTTCAAGTTTAAGCACAAGCCAACACCAATGGTGTAGATCGCCTCAGGCACAGAGAGTGTGGAACGCTCAGCCTCTTCACCAGCTCCGGCACAGGACAAGGCGTCTTAATGCTCTCAGTGCGACTTCTGAGGGTGTCGGGCGCATTGTGCTCCGGAGTTTGTGGATTGCGAGGTGGGTTAGCAGCCTTTAGACTGAAGATTCAGCAAGGTGGCCTGCATGGCACTTGGTTGTTGCAACTGTCGTCCCTTGTCAACACCCAGAGGCTGTTTAGATGTGAATTTTACAGTACAAAGACCCCAAGCTAGCATCTGCTCCCCCGCAGCGCAGTGGACATCGTCCGTTTTATTTGTCAAAGTCTCATGTCCGTGCAAGGACAGCTCGGACGAGCTAGGACCGGCAGGAGCTAAGCCGCTAAACTACTAACCTTCCAGAAGTAGCATATCGACGCTTGGGCCGACATTCCCAAATCCGACAAGGCCGGAAGCCTGGCTCAAACTAACGAAGCCGCTTCGGACGTGCAGTTACGGTTTGGGGCGTTCTTGGGAGGAGGCCGATGGCTTCTTCATGACAGCCCCGCCGCGAATGGAGGTGTCGGAGCCGCAAGTCCGGGAGAGGATTTGCAGGTTCTTCTGTAGCATCTGGGAGTCTGGGTGTTGTTTGTGCTAGTCTTCAGCTTCTTGGGCAAGGACGCGTGAACTCCGGCCGTAAACGTGCAGTCTCATCGAAGTTGTTGCGCAATCTGACCGCGAGCTTCGTGTATTGTGTTCTTGCATCTTCTTCAAGAGTCAGTGGTGTGTGTGTGTGTGTGTGTCCTATGTCCTATGCACCGTACTTCGTCCGGTGCCCGAAGCCGCAAATATCGGTTCCGACTCGAGCATGTGGGCAGGCCCCACCCGTGAACGTCGAGGAAATGGCAGTTCTGGCAGACAATGCAGGAGACCAAGAACCTCAGACTCTGCCATGCGCACAAATGTCAGGCTGGGAAAGAGATACCCTTACCGTTTGCAGAAGCTGTTTGTGAGATCTGACATATGAGCGCTGATGTTGGGATCATGGGACAAAATAACTCAGTTTTGCATATTCACGGCCGCAATTATGCTCTGGCGTCGCAGGCCCCCCCCCCTTTCCCCCCACCCCCCATGGTATGCCCCCCCCCCCCCCCCCCCCCGAAGCCAGGCCCAAGCCAGGCCTGGCCTCTCGCCACGGCAGGGGCGGGAGGGAAAATCCACAACAGTGGAACAGTGGAACCACAAGACGGCGAACCACAGGGGTGGGGTGGGGAAGGATAATCCACACAGGGAACCACCGGGCGCCTTCCCTTCCCCTCTCTTCGAATACAAATGAGAATGTTGCGCACAATGATGTTGATGTGCTAGTCCCAGTGTGGCTGTTGGTGGTACCTTTACTCTTATGTTGCTCCGGGCTTCGGCACCGCATGTTCATTGCTTTATCTAGTTGAAAACCGTGCTTGGCTTGTGATGTTCTTGCGAAAACTGGATCGACCGTTGTCATTCCAAGCCAAGTTACGGTTGGGTTCGCTACAAGTAAGCTTGAGCACGTGTTTGAATGGTTTTCATTCGGGACTTTTGAGCAAGGGACCGGAGGAGAGTGCGGATGGGGATAATGACCACCATCTTCGACATCATCATCACCATCATATTCATCACCATCATTGGCTTTGGAGCTCAGGGCAGGTCGGAGTTCAATAGACCTGTATCACATCCTACGGTCATGGACGGGGGCTTAGCCGACCGCAACCAAGGGGCAGGGGGGGAACCCACACCACAGGGAACCACAGGGGGGGAGGGGGGTATACCATGGGGTGGGGGGGGGAGAGGGGGGCCTAGCAGCGCTGCACCATATATACAGGCACACTTGCAGCCACACGCTGCAACACACCCAGCACGAGCATGCATAGCATACGGCTCATTGTACGCATACACATGCATGTACACATGCATATACATGCACCTGTATACTGCATACATGATGTCAATACGTGAGCAGTCCACACTGCCTACATAGAGATACTAGGAGGCGTTCCACGATCCTCATGTGAAGTTGTGCATCGCCGGATCAACTCCGTGCAAAGGCGGTCATCCCGAGTCACTAGGTGTGTGATGTGGACATCCGACTGGAGCCCACCCTGCCGGCCGCGAGTTGTGCGCACAGCTGAGAAAAGAGCGTGGGCACACTTTGGAATAACCTGAAATAACGAGAGTCGACACCCCACCATCACCTTGGACTAGCTTCGTCCGCTCAGGTCCTCTGCTGCTGCCACCCACGGCACGGCAGCCTCACACAGGATCAGGGTTTAGGCATTTAAGGGTAGATTAGCCCTCGCATGATGAACTGCGACGAAATAAATTTGTTGCACATACTTGGGTTCATTTGATATGATTGCCTAGCTAAGGCTGTGCAAAACCGTGCATCGGGCATGCATCTGTATGTTTGGGGACAGGAAGCTGCAGCCACCGACTTTGTTCGTTGCAAGCTCCGGCTGTCAGAAGAGGCCATGCACGCGTCCTGATCTTACAATTTCCGTGTGCACGTTCTCGCAGTGTTTGCATGCCTTTTCCTCACTCGGATCCCAGATTGGATCAAGATTTTCATCGCATCATGCTGCCCGCGACCGAAGAACTCCAAATCCCTGTAAACCACCACAGAGCTTGGCATAGGAAGCACTTCCAAGGTTGTCACAACTACAACCGTAGTGCGACGTCAGGAGAGCACTAGGTCACTTTATGTCCGAGTCTCCTCAGCGTCTAGACGATTCGAGAGCTGTCGTCTTCTCGCATGGCTGTCACGCACTGGAGCTTCCATCATGGATCGCTTTATCTACCCGCCATTCGAGAACCATATATCCCGATGGGTCATTTGTTATTCATCTTGTTTGCCTTGCCTTCCTTTCTTTACCCTGGTAGGTT